AGCTGTATCTTATTATTATCACGTTATTATCACGTATTAATCGGAAGTGTTTATAATTATATTTTTAATTAATCTTTTGCTGCACCCCGAAGAGGTTATATAATATAATAATGCCGGCTATAAATTCATCTGGTTCTATGAAGCAACTTCCTAATATTTAACTCGATTCTCCCCATTATTATCTTGAAAACTGAAACATGCCTTGAAAGTTTTGAGCGACTGAGCGGACTGAGCAGACTCGCATAAACACTTATTTCGTCGGAACTGCGGTTGGCTTCGGCTGGTTTGGGTGCATACTCCAATTCTGAAACATCGTCGAGCTTAGCATATGTCAGAAATGTTGCAGTTGTCAGTGTCAATAATTGTTAATTTATAACTTTAGTCTAGTGTCAAGTGTGGTGAGGCTTTGTCGGTCAAATTTCTAAGCCACTGATAAAAAAAGCCTGTAAAATTTAGAAATGTTATTCTGTGCGAGTGTGATTCGACCCATTCAACAGTTTGTCAAACGTACTTCCTGTGGGAAAACTCGGTAACGATTCTGTGTTTTTCGTGATGTAGTTTTTTAGCAAACTGCCTAGTGTTGATGTTTTATTGTAAACTGTTGACAATGGGGCTGTCCTTTGCTAAACAATCGGACGACAATGGCACGGAGCTTCCGGAATCCACAATCTCCGGATCCAAGCTGCATGGCAGACAAGCCAGTATCAGGCAGAGCACCATTAAAGCAAAGGAGAAACAGGCGATGCCTGACCCTGGAGAGTTGGAACGGCGCTTTACGAAAGTGCTGGTGAGTCAACCTTCTGAGAATACCATTCATGCATTGTGATTATTGCTATCATTATTATTTACTATCAAAATGTAGTCATCCTCGAATTTGCATGCGAATTAGGTACCCCGCGATTCTGCTATTGTGGTGTTTTTTGCCTTTCCAAAATAAGGATTTTCGGCGGCGCCTTACAGGGCCCATATATTATGGGTTGTACACATTTTTACATACATTTTAAGAACTGATTTTGACACCTTGTAAATTTATTTAAAAAACTGTCCACATTTTCCGGGACAGCCTATATCTGTTTATCCGTTAAACTTGTCAGTCTTCATTATCTGCAATAAAATTAAGCAATTAGAATCAGAAACAACTAGATTCAGTTGACTAGATTCCAACGACCAAATAAAAAGTTGTGGAACTTTTTGTACCAAGAAACTCACGAATTCCTCAAAACCCAAACCGAATGAATACGGTTGCTGCATCAAAACATGAGACTTGCATAGTAAAAAATCCACAGCGAGTTTCATTAAAATCCATTGTCTTATTCTACCGATATTTAAAAAAACATACTTTTTTTTAATAACTGACCATCAATAGCACAAGACCCGGATATTTTTCTCAATAAAAGTTATGGCAGTTAGCAAAAGTTATCTCAAACACCGTTTCTGATAGTCAGGAAACAGCAAATAAATAAATGACTCCTTTCAAGAAAAAAAATGATAAAAGCTCCTGCTCATGATGCAAGTTTCAGCAAATAAGGGTGCAAAAACTCGTGTTTAATTCCTTAAAAGTCTTAAAAAATTAAATAAATTATTCACATTGCACCGAGCTGGCACAAAACAAAATTACTTGACTTTGCCAACTTAAACATAGGGGGGGTTTACTGTGCTTTTAGGTTTCCACCAATCAAAAATATCTTCTCTATTATTATGGGTTTCACTTGATCCAAATCTTCAATCTACAATCTCAACAATTTCTGTGTTTTCAGAAATACTTACATTTGAATTTCAACTTCATATAAACATCAGGCGGACTTGCCTGATTATGTTCTTCTTGGATCGTACAAACTACCTCTATTTCAAGTTGATTTTTGGCCATACTAAGATCAATTCAGCAGGTCAGAAGCAAAACTAGAAGTAAATAAATGAATCGGTTGTTTGTAATAAAGTGTGTAATTTTTTTAGGTTTTTTTCAAACCTTTAAAAGAAAATTTGTCCTATCGCTTTCGCCTGTTAAGTCATCATCAGGGCCTCTACAAATTACAGTAAATAGGTAAGACGCTCGGTACTAATGGGTGATACAAAAGAGTAAGTTATATGTCTGCATCTTTTGTATCATCCATTAGTACTAAGCGTTTTATTTACTGTTAATTGTAGAGGCCCTCATGATGACTTAACAGTCGAAAGCGCTAGGCCAATTGATTTTAAAAGCTTGAAGAAAGTAAAAAAAAATTACACACCTCAGTACAAACAACCGATTCATTTATTTCATCCAGTGTGTACACACCCATTCCTATTATTAAAACTAGAAGTACTTTATTTTTGATAGTGGCTAATCACGTCGTTTGCTACCCACTTGATTATTCGTCAACCGATCAATTTTTTCAGGGGCAAATTTTAACTCTTGCAATTGTTAATTACTTCTGTAAGAATAATATAAAAAATGTCACCTTATTGAGTAAAAACCGAGCTAGAAACTTACTAATTACCACAATCAACATGCAGAAATCCTTTATGAGAAAATTCAATTAAAAGGTTAAAATCGTAACTTCCTTGAAATTATAAACAGTGTTCGGTGCTCATTCCGTTTCCAAAAAATCCAATATTTTTTTTAAGGACGATACTTATTATTTTTTGGAAAAATGACTTATTCCCACTAGATAATTAAGTACCACTTATCTAATTTGAAGTAGTAAAAGTTGAAAATAACATCCTTTTTAAGAGTTTTATCGTAAGGACTTTCACATTAATAATATAAGTAGGTACATGTTCCATCCGTCATTTATTATGTTTTTTTCTCCCTTTATTAAGGTTCTCAATGTTTCATGTTTTTTTTTAAAACCCATTTAAAGAAATCTAGCGGTGTAAACGCCGGTAATCGTGGTGCCCATTCAATAGGACCATGTCGACCATCTAGTGATTTGCAAACATTTTGTTCAAGTAAGTTCGAACATTTAAATCGAAATGTTGAGAACCACGATCCCGTTGGAAAGAGTGATATTCTTTGATTGGTGATATCTGGATCATTTGCCTTCTAAAAAATGACTGCTAACTCAGATGTTATGGTGTTATGTTTGATGTAATTCAAATGAGAAAAAATCCAATTACGGCTACGCAGTAAGAATGTGGTCGAAGAAATATGGTCACGAAATTCTGTTATTGAATATGCCAGCCCACACATTGACTTTTTGGGGAAATTGTGTAGGTATTTTGAGTGGGTTCTTAGGGAAATTTTTAGCGCCATTTTGATCATCTTAATCGTATTACGATATGATTTTTTCATCAGTCTGAATGATTTAAGATGTCCAGATACATGTCCCTTATAAATTAAATAAAATAATATCTATGGGCAAGTAATACCTTCAGTTATATTAATATTTTCAAGTATTTATAATAATGAGAAGAATCCACCTTATCAGTAAGCAAAAGGGTTGTGGTGCAACATATACAATACATATGCACTTATTATTTGGAGGCATTTGCTATTTTTACCAAACCCTTGTTTAACTACTCGAAATATCCGAGTTGGAATTTTAACATGATAAGTTTCAACTACTTGCAATATTTACTCGCTAATAAGTATCTAAGTGCTACACTTGAACTAAGACTTGAACTAGCGTATTACAATTAAGAAGAAATATTTTCTCAATGGATTATGCACGATCAACACAGATGTATATGGTTACTGTCGAGGTTACAGTTTACTGAACGTTTTTTATTCTCATTCATTCAAACACAGGAATACTTTGAACAGTGGGCTATATTTAAAGACAAGGTTATGGTCAATAGTTTTATGCTTAGATTTTTAAATATGTCTACTTATGTACTTTCTGCATATCATTTTGTTGTAAATAATAAAGAAATGGCGAAATCGAAAAAGCTTATAGGACACCGTATTGATGAAAACACAAGTTCATCTAAACGTATGTGTAAATGTGTAAAAAGTCTATTTTTTGATAACTATTTAAGCAACAATAGACGGTTCACGTATTCTTTGTTTGAGCTAGATAGTAAAGTTTTCCTTCAAAGCTATGATCTTTAACATGTAAATAAGTGATGTCATATTTAGCCAGATCTATCAATTATATAAAACACACACTTCAGCTGTAATACCTTCAAAATTATATTTATATTCGAAAAAAGTACTTATGTATTAATTTAAAAAAAATACTAGCCGAAGCTAAAAACACTGCACAGTTTCTTGTAAACATGAACATGTGGTGGATATTTTAATCCCAAATAAGTGAGTAAATTGTCACGCATTTATTAGAGTTTGACCCCACAGCTTGGCTGCATGAAAATTCCTCATACAAATGTACGAATACCTGGAGATTTATTTATTCATGCATGGGTGAGGTTTTGAAACTGGCGATTCCATGCGAAGTAAAGTTATGGGAAATATTGCCCAACAAAATATGGAACTCGCACTGTAATTCAGTTCTGTAGAGCGCTTGAAAAATTGAAATATTTTTGTAGCTCATACTTGAGTACAAATTTAATTAAAAAAAATAATTTAACAAATGAGGAAACAATTATATATAAATGTTAAGAGTTAAGACACAATCAATGGACTTATTAACAGAGGAACGAAATGCTAGCAGATGTTTTTGGCAATAATGTCTTTCAAAATATACTGCGATATCTTAGTTATTACAATTTCTTGTGCCAGTGATTACAAACGCAACATTGGAACGTTTGCGAATTTAATAGTACCGGCAATTTTTTGTCTCAATTATGTAATTTTTGTACAATATATTTTTTTGTGAAAATTAGGGCGCTTTGTGTTCAGTAGGATTACTTTCTTTTCCAACTTCCTATTAAATCTGAGAACAGGATAATATCTGTAAACTGTGATGTTGTTACAATAAAACTCCAATGGGCTGTAAAATGGGTTGGTTATACCAATCACTGGCCACCAAATAGTCCTCATCTAACACCGTTTGATTTTTTTTAAAATCGAATATCGGAAATCGGAAGTCCATAACGTTAGAGGTGAAAGTTTACAGGATTTAAGAGAAGAAATCGAAAGAGCCATTGATTGACCCATTGAATAAACATTCTGAGTAAATTTTAAATGCTTTATTCAAGTTAGATGCAATCACGTTATACATTTCGAATTGTTTTGAATAAAAGAGAAAAGTCTATCAACTCATTCATCGCGACAAATCAACTCCAAAAATATCCAGAGTGGTCTGTCAGAACTGGATCGCCTTTTTTGTAAATTTTGTACTAAGCAGGTATGTTTTTTTGTTCCTTTAAAAATATGTTCTTATGATTTAATCACCAAAACCATATAGGTTTTGTATTTAGCAAACTCACCAGAAGCTGCGTAATACACAACTAATGATTAAACAATTTTATCTTTTCTCATAACTAAGCTTCTGAGATTATCTACCATAGTCTTTCTCTTAACTGTGCATATGCTATCGAGATAATGATATTTACATTTGTTGAATCATTAGCATTCATAGCATTTATATGTAATAATAGTCATACAATCATACAATAATATTTCTCATTATAAATAGGCAGTCCTAGCTTGTTGAGTCCTAGTCGATTTTGGCTAAAGCTTAGACCTTAAATCATTACTTAAATGGGATATTGTGTCTTTATTTTATTATGCGCAGATGTTTTAATACATAGCTTACACCCACTTTGCTAAATATACAATCGGTAGTGAAAATGTGTCGTTTTTCTAATTTCGAAGATTATCTCAATATCAGTAGCCACTGTGCGCGTATTCTTTTTGTTTATTTTTTAAAACTTTTGGCACAATTCAAAACAATTCAGACTTTTCCC